GTGGCCTGCCATCCAGGCACTGTCTAGTCTTACTCAGACTTGGCGTCTGCTGCCAGGACAGCCAACATACAAGCTTGGAGAGAGTGTGTTTATATGCTGTAGAGCCCTGGTGGCCAACCTGCGGCCCTTTGGGACTGATTGTGCGACTCTCGGGGGGCCCTGCCTGTAGCCTGTTTTACTTGCCTGGGTGCTTACTCTGATCAGTGAAGGAAAAAATATTATTTAGACTGGGTTTTCTAGTAGTTAGATGGCTTGTTTTATTTCTTTCACACAATCTGTTTCTAGGCTGTCCGTCCCTTGGCTCTTGTTATCTTTCCGCTTTCATAATGGATCTTGTGGGGAGAAATAATAATTGTGCCACAAGTAATTTTTAATGGGGCACAAATGTGGAAGCATTGGTTTGTAAAAGGGCTGTAATAGCGGTGATCTCTAGCAGTCTCATGTAATGTGTATGTGTAGCCTGCTAACTAATCGATTTTGAAAATAATCGTTAGCTGCAGCTCTAAGCCCATAGCTGTCTTAACCATGTCCCCACTTTCCAAAAACCCTCACAGCTTGTCTGCAGTCTCTGGCCAGCTCCTGTAGCATGCCCGCAGTCTCTGGCCGGCTCATGTAGCACGCCCGCAGTCTCTGGCCAGCTCCTGTAGCATGCCTGCAGTCTCTGGCCAGCTCCTGTAGCATGCCTGCAGTCTCTGGCCAGCTCCTGTAGCATGCCTGCAGTCTCTGGCCAGCTCCTGTAGCATGCCTGCAGTCTCTGGCCAGCTCCTGTAGCATGCCTGCAGTCTCTGACCAGCTCAAGCGGTCATATTCCACATCCCATCGCCAGAGGGTCACTTTTAGCAATTCACAAGGCAGCAGCTTTTTTCTTAATCCACTAAGCTTAATGTCTGCAACCTTTAAAAATGAATCTGTAAAGGCTTCAACACCCACTGCTGTTTTGAGCTATTGAAGAAAGCCATCTTTTATTAATGCAGTGCAAAGATCTGTCACCATTTACAAAGCATTGTAACCCATAGCAACCAGAGTTCAGTTTATGGCCGTCATCACAGTGAGGAATGTTTTCTGATTGGGTGCCATGTGTTTCTACATATGGCTGAATAATGTTCTTTGGTATATCTTTGAAAGGAAACCTTTCCTGAGAGAAACGCACAGCCTGCCAATCCTGACATCTAATCCTGCAAATGTTCATTGCCTGGCTGTGATGCCGACTCTGCTCCATTCATACTTTATCACTAGCCCAGCACAAGCCTGCAGATAAAGACTTCTGACTTTTCTTCTTCTTCCTTTTTTTTCCCCTCTCATCCATTTAAAGTACAGTTCACTTTCTCACAAAATGTGCAACAGCACCCCGCTACCTCTCCCAGCCCCTGCTGCACATACCCCACCCCACGCCAGCCAGTGTCCAATTTATACAATGCGCTGCACAGCCCCCACGTAATGTAATGACCATAATGCACACAGATGGTGAGCACTCATTGGTCAGCATGGTCACATGGCCATGCTGACCAATAAGAAGTGCTTTTGAACTTGAGACCAGGTCCTGAAAATGAGTAGTACTTATCATTGTCCAATGTGGTCATGTGACCGTTCTGATGAGTGCCCACTATTTGTATTATGCTCATTACATACTGCGGGACTGTGTCTGTACACTTGACTGGTGGGGGATCACACAGGTATGTGCCGTGGGGGTGCGGAGAGGTGGCGGGGTGTTGTTGGTAAGTGCATTTTCTCAAATATTGGGAGAATGTGAACTTCCCCTTTAGGGCAGGTTCACACCACATCCAGATAATCTCCAGACCAAAATGTTCCCAGCCTAAAATGCATCCTAATGTATCCCTATGCTATTTCTGGCATCTGTTCACACCAGCGCAGTCTGTTCCAGACCAGATCAGAAAATACTGCATGTCTCATTTTGTCTGCTCTGAATGCACTGGAACTACGTGCAGGTTCACACCATTTTCTGGACTAGATCTGGTCCCTAAAATGGTGTGAACCTGCCCTTAAGCATGTGTATTCTAGTCCATTAAAAGTTCCTGGACTGCGACCATTTAGACCAGCTGCATTGCCACTTTTCTGCATTCAGTCTCTAATCCGGGTCAGTTTCTCGATTGCGTATGCAATTCAAACGCGGGCGTCAAGGTACATCCAACCTTTCAATGTCAGTGGGCAGCCAGTGAAAGTAATATGTTCTGTCAAATACAGAGTTCTGTTCTATTTCCATCTTAATGTTCTGGGTATTGTTGCCTTTACCAGATCACATGCAAGTCTTATTTAAATGGCTTTGCAACATAAGCCTTGAGTCTATTTTTGTGGTCCAGAATGCTCATAAACAATAAACATATTCAAGGAATGGTCTGGCTGATTGAAATCCTGCAGGTCTTGATTATTTTAGAAGATGACACACGTCGTGTCTATAATTAGCGCTAAACACGGGTGAAGTCATATTGGAAATGAGCCCTGTCTAGTGGTCAGTGAAGGAGCCTGGAGACCTGGGGTCTTGCTCTCTGGCTCTCCGCATAACCTATTTTTACCACGGTGTCTTATTCTCGGCTCCTCCAGCGTCTGCTGCCTCCTTTTAGCCTCCAGACTCCTGGACCTAGTTTGTATGGAGGGATTCCCTGAATTTCAGAGCAATACAATCTCTAGGTCTGGAGACCTCATGTTCCTCAGGCTTGGAGCCACCTCACACTTAGAATCACACCAAGGGCATCTGTGATGTGGTAGTCTGTGGACCTCTTTGCTTTTGAAAATATTATCCGGCTATAGGTTCAGGGTAATAACTCACACATGAAAGTTGTGTTACACTTTTAGGATCAAAGACCATGTTTTGTGCTTGCCTCGAAGTGGGACAGATCAAACGCTGTTTTGTAATGCAGTTCTCAGCACTGTGAGCATCTTAAATTACCCAACTTTTGATGTGCCTGACTAATCTAATGGTCATGTTTAAAGTGCATCCCTTGCTTTTGTTACTTTCTAGTAAATGTGATATCTGAAAGGTTAGGCGCCTGATATGTACAACGCATACCTGTATTCAAGTGGACCTTTCACCATTTTACTGCTCTTTGTCATTCCCTTCCTGTAATCTCTGTTTTTACGTAATCACTAAGAAGTTGCATGTTTTGTGAACAGTATAGAAGTGATGTACCATTAGCAGCCTGCGATATTCACGTCACAAAATTGTGAGCCTGCATAGATTTTATTTATGTAGGCGCAGTCTCGTGGTACTTTGGTACTTACTGACCTGCAGCCCCATGGGATGGGTGACATATCTAAGGAGGCTTCGCTTGGCTAAAGGTATGTCACTCTTGCCTAGGTGAGGGTTGAGGTAGTGGGAGGGTGGAGGAATAACAAACTATATATAGTTTACAAAACATGGACATTTTTGGTGACTGAGGGGAGAAAGGGTGTGACCGAAAGTGCAGGAAATATCTGTTATACAAGGAAGTATGGAAATGGATCATTCATTTTGTACACATTGTCTTGGGTATGTTTTGGTACAAGGCCGTTGCAAAGTTTAGAGCGTTCTACGCTCGACGAACGCTCTACAAAACGCTTTAAAAATATAAATCCCATTGTATTCAATGGTCTCTTCCCACCTTGGCGTATTTCCGCCCGTCCCTAACGCGCTCCACAACGGCCCACGCCTGAAAAGGTACAGGTACTACTTTGGGCCGTTTTGTAGCGCGTTTCCATTGGGCTACAGCCAAGTAGCCTTCGGAAACGCGCGACTTTTTTACCGCGAATCGCGGTAAAAAAACACGCGACAGACGCGCATCTGCAAATACGCCTAGGTGTGAACGAGACCTTAGGCTGTGTTCACAACTTTTTGTGCCTGAATTTTTCTGTGGTTGGTTTTTATGTGCGCTTTGATGCGTGTTTTTATGCGTTCTGCCAAAAACATGTTATTGTACCAAAAAACACTCTCTTTTTCTCAATGCATGCCAGCACAGCTCACAGATGTGAACAGGCCCCCCAAAGGATGGCAACCCTCTCATTGTACATTAACACGAGTTGGGCAATGTGTGTTAAATCGTACAAGTGTAAATATGACCTTTATCTCCAAAACATCACTTACAACCTGTGATAGCCATTTCATATTTAAAAACAAATCCACATTGACTATGACCTACAAAACTATCAGGTGGACTACTTTCCCACAGTTGTCGATGCCGGTTTGCTCTGCGCACTGGACGCCTGTTTCGTAAATTCAGCATTTCCTATTGGTCGGCTTGGTCATGTGTTGTGAATATATAAACATATAAACTGAGTGGCCAGATTATTATGACCACCCCATCAGTACTTTGTTGGGCCACGAGATGACTCCACGAGATGACTTAGTTGGGGCACGACATGACTCCACGAGATGTTGAAAGGTGATGCGAGGAATCTGACACTGCACTGTTGCCCTTCTGTTGTCTTGTACCAGTCTTGCCACTCTCCGTTCTGCCCTAACATTGACTAGTCGCTGACGGCCACAATTCGCATGTTCAGACCCAGATTTTCGGCTGACAGTCCAGTCTTTAAACACTTTAACAACAGCTGCTCTTGAACATTTAACGAATTCTGCTGTTTGGCTGATACTCGCTCCATGGCTCGCGCCAACAATCATCACACGTTCATAGGCTGTTAAATTGCGTTGTTTACCCATATCTTCAGAAAAAAATCACTTCTACTGTCGTGGTAAACAACCCGCTTCCCTATTTATAATGGTCTGGCCCTCTAGCAACTTCAGCGCAAAATGATAGCTAATTATAGCTAATTTGCCTACAAACGTCAGGTGGTCATAATAATCTGGCCACTGAGTGTATATGAAATGACTGAGCCCTTGTGTTATGTTAGCGTTTGTCACTTCCTTTTATCTCATTATTTAAGGAGTGTTGTGTTTGCTGAGTATTATGCTGTATATGTGAAATTATTTCATACCTGGAAGTTGTAGATAAGATCAAGGGGATCCTTATCAATCCACCCACTTATTATTCTTTTTTTCTTTTTCCACCCAGAAGCTTTGCACCGTCCTTTTGGCAGTGACTCAGAACCTCAATCCCTCAATGATGCCATCCGCTGGAGCTCCAAGGAGAACCTGCTCGGAGCCACAGAAAGTGACCCCAACCTCTTTCTTGCTCTTTATGATTTTGTGGCTAGTGGAGACAATACCCTGAGCATTACTAAAGGTAAAGCCTAAATATTAACAACTATACAGTTTGTGTCAACCATATAACTACGTTTAATGGATGTGTATGTTGTACATAGGTTGTTAAAGAACTGCAGTACTAAATTCATATGTCTGTATACCTAGTATGGGAAGGATGCACCTCTTTCATATGATAAGTCTGTCTTGGATTTCTGGATGGCATATGTGGTTTTAGACGTTTTTTTAATATGCATCTATAAATAACAAAGTGATTTTGTTATTGTGGTAATGCAGTTTTCTCTTTTGGAGGATATACATCTTTGTTCAATTTGGAATGTGTATTGTATTTTTTTTTTTCTATGGGACATATTGTATTTTTAGCTTTTATGAATAATGTGACGATTTGCTGCCAGATGTGGTTTGGTCATTTATATCGAAATGTCCTAATGTGTTCCTTGTGGGATTGTATGTTGTAATTGCACATGGCTTCCAGGAGATGTAGGTTGATCTTTTGAATTTTGTTTTCAATTTTCTTTTGTGCCGTCATCTTTCAGGAGAGAAACTTCGTGTGTTGTGTTACAACCAGAACGGGGAATGGTGCGAAGTGTTATCTAAGAACGGCCAGGGCTGGGTGCCCAGTAATTACATCACTCCTGTGAACAGCCTGGAGAAGCACTCGTGGTACCATGGTCCTGTGTCCCGCAGTGCAGCCGAGTACCTCCTCAGCAGCCTCATTAATGGCAGTTTCTTGGTGCGTGAGAGCGAGAGCAGTCCGGGCCAGCTGTCCATCTCTCTGCGGTACGAGGGTCGAGTCTACCACTACCGTATCAACACTGGCTCTGATGGCAAGGTAGGTGGAAAGGCACTTATGTTTGCATTTTGTTTGTTTGCAAAAGTGAGCAGTCTCTTTTTTTTGGGAATTTTATCGTATTCTGGCTTTCACTCGGGAAATATGCTAGCTAAATACTGATTGTTACTAAAAATATTAGAGGATGGGGGTAAGGAGGTGAGAAATAATGATTAAAGGGTGGATAAGTACTAGAAATATGCACTATAAATATATATATATAAATTATACACTATAAATATGTGGTAGGGGGTTCCTTGTTTAGATATAATATGTGAAAATGTTATATATTTTGAGTAAATACCTGAATAATACACAAAATTAATATGAAACACTAAATATAGAGGTGATATAACAAATAAAGGGAGGACAAGTAACAGAAATATGTAATATATATATATAAAATATACACTATAAATATGTAGTAGGGAGGGGTTTGTTTGTTTTTTGTTTTGTGTTTTTTTTTTGGTATAATACGGGAATAAACACTAAAAATAATATATAAAATTAATTAATACGAAACACTAAATATAGAGGTAGAATGGAGGGGGTGTGATACCACGAATAAAGGGCGGATATGTAACAGAAATATGCAATATATAAAATATACACTATAAATATGTAGTAGGGAGTTTTTTGTTTGTTTTTTACATAATACGGGAGTAAACACCTAAACAATATACAAAATGAATTAATATGAAGCACTAAAGACGGAGGTAGAAAATATCACGATATAAAAGGGGAGGGTGAAGGAAGTTAGATAGGTTATGTGGGATAAAAGGGGAGGGTGAAGGAAGTTAGATAGGTTATGTGGGAAGCCAATCTAAGATTTGGCATATATAATATGAAGACCGTTCAGGGTTGACCATGAAATGTAAATGTTAAAATATGGACTAAATTGCGAAAATAGCAGTGTCTTAAATGTGAGTTGTGTGTATGTATGTGGATGTATAATCATGTTGTTGTAAATTACACTATTAATTATGTGGTTGTAAATTATTCTTGTTGATTGTCGGAAAAAAATTTTGTTTTGAATAAAGAGGATTTAATTAAAAAAAAAATACTGATTGTTATGCACTTTAAGGATCAGCCTATTCAAATTGGTTAAATATCCCTTCTTAGTCCTATATTTAATAGAAATTCAGACTTTTGATCCTTAAAGGCCCAGCTCCACCTACCCGCTGCAGCCATTGCAGAGTGGTGATTCTTCTAAGAAGGCACCCCCACTTGCTGATCCTACATTTGGGTATGGAGGAGTATGTGACCTCATCCCAGGATGCATTGGTAAAGCTTGGGCAGCTAATGACAGCGCCAAAACACTGGCACATGAGAAGGTAAAAGTTAACACTGTGTAAGCTCTAGTACATGCTTACAATAGGGTTAGTACTTTCAGCTCCAATGGAGGAACAGTGTGGATGGAAATGTGGGATCAGTGGGCAGATAGAAACTTTTTTTTTCTTCTCACAAGAGAACCTGTCACTTTGGCCTGAAATGACATAACAGAGTCTCTTTAACTGACCTGTTCTCAGCTAGCCGATTGCTTACAGAGTAAAATGGTGAAAATATTGTGTATGTAGTATTATGTATGTATTTGTATAATGTATTTAGTTATGTGTGGCGAAACCACGCAAGAATATAGTAACATTCCAAGCTCACCGACATGTTTACTAGAGAGATATATTTGCTCTGTCCATGTGGAAAGAGTGGCAGAGTAGAACTAATATTGGCTTTTTGACCCTGTCCTCCAGGTCTATGTCACAGCCGAAAGTCGTTTCAACACACTGGCCGAGTTGGTTCACCATCACTCCACTGTGGCTGATGGCCTTGTCACTATCTTACACTACCCAGCACCTAAGTGCAACAAGCCTACAGTTTACGGAGTCTCCCCCATCCACGACAAGTGGGAGATGGAGCGCACAGACATCACCATGAAGCACAAATTGGGAGGGGGACAGTATGGAGAAGTTTATGTCGGGGTTTGGAAAAAATACAATCTCACCGTCGCTGTGAAAACACTTAAGGTAAGGTAACCAGAACTATGTAAGTCAACATTCAATCTATACGTTACAAAAAGAAAATCAAAATACATGAAGTAAAGCAAAAAAAAAATAGCCCTGGCCTCTTATGTTTCATACCGAGAATAATATATGGGACTTGTAACACCATAGTTGGCTTTGTCATAGCGCCCCCTGTGGTGCAACTTGTGTTATTGCACATACCTGCTTATGTCTTATCTCTTTTGCACTGAAAGATAAAATGAAAATGCTGCAAAGCATAGATATGTACCCTTATTCACTTTATTTTCCAAACAAAATAGATTTTTTTTTAATGTGAAGCATGTTAATATTTTTAAGCAGCATGGCCCATGTAAAGATCAAAAACTTGTAGGAGTAAAAAAAAATGGTAGCCCTTCCTAAAGTGCAATCATGGCAAATAGCTCACGTGGAAGTATCTAGGCAAAAATACAATCATATGGTGACCTTCTGTGCAAGATGCACTGCAACAGCATTCTAGTCTAAAAGACCTCTTGAGTTTTTTATAAAATTCACTAGACTTATTCCATAGCTGAGTGGAACCTAAGTCTTTTGTCATGTGATTTAGTACTCTACAGCCTTCCTCTCAGGCCCAAGTGGCTGTGATCGAGGCTGCAGGGAGGGAGGGGGGTGGTTCCAGAGGGAGGACATAGGTAGGTCTAGGGAATATACTGGCTTTCCATTTATTCAGGCTTAGATTCTGGTCTGTTCACAAGAGGATATCGTCATCTCTAGGAGTTTACCTTCCTGAGCAGTCTGGTTAGATGACGAACACCAAGATGAAAAATGAGTCACACAGCAAGTAGAGTGCATCTTGTGAGCAGGTGGTCTGGGGTGTACCTCTTAAAGGACACCTGTCAAGAGAAAAATATTGTAGCCCCCATTTTTTTTAACATTGCAGGTTTTGGGGTTGTCACCTTTTATACACTTAGTGAATCGGTGACCCAGAGTAAGAGTGTAGTCCATTAAAGCAAACCTGATGTTGTATAAAACTTGCTAAAACTCCACTGGAACCACATAGCAGGCTCTTCTATGTGCTGCACATCACTTCAGCTTTTCTACTAAGCACCACAGGAGCCCTGAATCATAGGACTCTGTGATTTGCAAGTTTTAAGATGCTCCAATGGCCAAGTGCCTATCTTCTACCTCCTGTACTTCACTGTTGTCTCAAAGGACCACCCATCACACTGATGGCCCAGTAATGAGAATCAGGGGACATGGCCTGACTCCACCATGAGAGCTGTTCAAAATGTGCATACCGGAGCGTGCTGACACTATGGGGCTGATTTACTAACCTAAACACACACACCAGGTGTGTGTGATTTTCACACAGCAAAACGTATTTATCAACCAAAAAGTCTCTAAAAGCATATTTCCACTAATGCCATATATGGAAAAATCATGCACATGATGCATATATAATGCTGCTTCACAGTTTAGACAAAAATGGTTAGCTCATGCATTTACATTCCTGCATTTATCAACGCAAGCACCACAACATAGAGCTAATTTACCCAACATCACCTTGGAATTCATTCAGGGCTTTGCACAACACACCTGCTGGGTGTGTACACATTACAAAGGTGTTTAGATTCCACCCATAGATCATGCTGGGAGGGAACACACTGCAGAGGTGTATACACATTCGTGGTGTGTTTATAAGGTTAGTAAATCAACCCCTATGTCTCTTATCTGTTTCCTGATGGGTACCATTAAAATAGCGATTCCATTCTAGGGTATGCCTTACCTTTAAAATGGTGAATTATAGGGCATGTTTTTCTTAAAATATAAGTAGTCACTTTTGATGAGCAACTCATCTGTTGAACATATATGATGAAAATTAGAAATGTACAGTCGATGGCTTTTCATTGAAGTTTTAGTGAAATAAAAAACATTTCTAACAAAGGTGTATGTATCAGTACCTAAAAAGTCCGATACATTTCTTTTAATAATACATCTGATAAATTACGGATGTGGTACGATGGGCCAATACGATTTAAAGTAAAAAATACTACTGGTAATTACTAAATATTAAAGTTCTTGTTCGGGAATATGGAAACCTTGGTCACAGATGAAACACTGATCTGATGCTTTGTATTTGGTTTTCCTTATTTTCAGGAGGACACTATGGAGGTTGAAGAATTTCTAAAGGAGGCAGCAGTGATGAAAGAGATCAAACACCCAAACCTTGTCCAACTCCTAGGTTTGTATACAAAGTTGCCCTAGTTCTTTGTATTGCGTTTGCCCCAGCTTAGTAGTTTTGTTATTTAGCATGCGTTCCCTTCTTTTAGAGTTTTTTCCTTTTATTTTGTCAGGTGTCTGCACACTGGAGCCCCCGTTTTACATTGTCACAGAGTACATGCACTATGGGAACCTGCTGGACTATCTTCGAGAGTGTAACCGAGAGGAAGTAACTGCTGTAGTTCTGCTTTACATGGCCACACAGATCTCCTCTGCCATGGAGTATCTGGAGCGAAAAAACTTCATACACCGGTGAGCTGCATGCAATTTCTCTGCGAGGTACTAATTTAGCTCTTGATTTTTGTAGTCAAGGCAGGGTGATGGTATCTTCAGGCTGCACCTAGAGAGGGTTTTTTTTTCTTACAGTGTGATTTCCTTTTGTGTAAATTTAAATATATCTCTGTTACTTTCTTTAGGGACCTTGCAGCAAGGAACTGTCTTGTGGGTGAGAATCATGTGGTGAAGGTGGCCGATTTTGGACTCTCTCGGCTCATGACAGGTGACACATACACAGCACATGCTGGTGCCAAGTTCCCGATAAAATGGACTGCTCCAGAAAGCCTGGCGTACAACACTTTCTCTATAAAGTCAGATGTCTGGGGTATGAAACAAAGCTTATTAGATCACTTTTCTTAACTCCTTTTTATATGTTCTGATTTTGCTTCCTAATCTAAATAGAAACCGGAAAAAGAAAGTCTATGGAGTACTTTTGAATGCAGTAATGAATTTAAAATTCTGATGTCTGCTAGGCAATGGACAAACGGTTTAAAGAAGTTTCACTTGGTTTTTTGTTTTTTAACGTCTTGTGTCCCCCAGGGAACAAAGTACATGTAGTACGTTGTCCCATTATCTATGTGCTGCTTAAGGCTTGCTGCATAGTTGGACTGGACACCCTCTCCCCACGGCTGTCCGTCCATTCAACTAGCAAAGAGACCAATAATTGAGGCTTAATTAGTGATGCTTGTCTCTAGCTCCATGCACTTGCCCAGGACGACCGTTATCACTAGGAATGCAGGGAAAGAGTGGGCATGTCAACTAATCTATGCTGAGATCATACACAGCAGACCACAGCACAGTCACAGCCAACCAGCTATTCTTGTAAAGAGAGACTAGTGTAGTAGCTGGCTTGTGTTGTTGTGGGCTTATGATTTTGCAAATGATGGCTCTTGTGTACTGCACACAGTCATTTACAACACGGTCTGACAGCTACTACTTTAGTCCCTCTTCCCCAGAATAACTGCCGGCTGGGGGGCAATTCTGGGCTAAGTCTTCCCTTTAAGTTCAAGAAAGCCCTTTCAGTACATGGCAGATAGCAGGAGTGTAAAGCATAAGGGGCGCAGAGCTGCAGAATGAAGAGCTCGAGGTGGCTTCTGCGCTGGCTTTTGCTACCCCCGTAGGAAGGCCCATCATTTGGCCATCTGCCTAGTGTGAACTACAGCATAATAGAATTTGGGTTTTATTTACAAACCATTGCACATGGATGATTCAAGAAGGATTTTCACCTGCACATAGCTCACAGCACAGTATGTCAACTCACGCTTTTTGTCTCCGGTTGCATGCACTATTGCACAGTAAAAATATGTATGCTCTTCAACCTAGATCTTGCCTTGCAGTGCATGGGTGGGGTAAAAGCTTGTCCAAACACTGACAGGGAGAGAATCAAGGTTTGCAGGCTTCTAGCTTCTTCAGAAGGTGTAAAATATCCTAAACATAAATGTATGCTTGTTTTACTGGTTTGAATTTTCCTTCAGGATCAGAATGATCATACTTGAGCTTTTTCTAAAGCTTAACCAGGTGTACTTACTGAATGACTTTTCAACAAAGCCTAATGACTCGTTTCTCTTTTTTTGCAGCATTTGGAGTTCTGCTCTGGGAGATTGCTACCTATGGCATGTCTCCTTACCCTGGCATTGACCTGTCTCAGGTGTATGACTTGCTGGAGAAAGGTTACCGCATGGAGCAGCCAGAGGGCTGTCCTCCAAAGGTCTATGAGTTGATGAGAGCATGTGAGTAACTCCTTTGTATTGTGTCTAGTAAATGTTGGCCTATTTGCCTACGAAATTTGGTTATGTTGAATGAATGTAATTAAACTGTCACCTCAAACACTACTGCTGATTTAGTGAAATTGTCATTTCTATCCTTTCCAAAGTACACAAATTCAGAGGAAATGATAAAGAACCTGAATATAAATTAGTATTTGAAGTAAACATTCCTTTTGTAAAACAACCCCTATGTGTGTAACCGAAGTAGCTGCACTTTAGCGTGTTTTTGGTGTGTGTTTGGCCACTGGCGATTGTGAAGACACCTTTTTATTACATTGCCTGATTTTTATTTTTTCATCTGTATTTTTTACACTTTTTTTCTCTTTGAATCTTTTAAGGCTGGCAGTGGAATCCAGCTGAAAGGCCCTCTTTTGCAGAGACCCACCAGGCGTTTGAGACCATGTTTCATGATTCCAATATCAATGAAGGTAAGGAAATAATACCTATTTGTGTTTTCGCTCGAATACTTTTTGATTATCATTTTTTATCTTGAAAATAAGCTGGAATAGCCAGATGTTTAATCCGACTGCAGAATGTATTTATACTTGATTATAACCAAAGTAAGCATAATTAAGGTACACCAATTTCGTGGAGGCATTAATTTTGTGGGCTAAGCCCTCATTTAAGTGAATAAGCCCCTATGTGTTAGTGTAAGCCTGGTGGCTTTGCATAGGTCCTCGGTGCAGCCAGTGAATATGCTTTTGTCAGGGTCCCACTTACACAAATCAGTTTACGGCACTGTTGATCATATTGCAGAGGTTGCTGAGGAGCTGGGACGCAATGCTGCTGCCTGTACATCTTCATCATGTCAGAGTCGTCTCCCTATGCTACCATCGAAATGTCGCACGTTGAAAAAGAAAGCGGAGAACAAAGAGAACATTGAAGGCACTGGGGATTCATCGGATAACTCAACCTCCAGCACTACAGCAGGTACCTAAGCTGCTAACTTGCTGCACATTTGTTCTGTTAAAATTTGTTCGCTTAAAGGGGAACTTCACCCTCATCTTAAAAATGACAACAATGGCACATTTAGAAATGTTTAGTAATTGGAATCTGCAAACCAATAGATATACAAAATTGCCGGCTTTTTATTCTTTGCATACCTTATTTTTCTTTTCCTCTCCATTCTTCTCATTGTGGCCATTTTTACTAACGGCAGACTAATGCATCTCGCTTTACTTCCTTGAACCCTGGCACATGTGATTGAATAAGTGACAAGTAGGGCTGCAACTAACGATTATTTTCATAATCGATTAGTTGGCTGATTATTTTTTGATGAATCTGATTAAAAAAAAAAAAAAAAGAAAAATTAAATACCATCCTTAATTTAAAATAAAATACACAAATGGAGTGTTACAAACATGAAGTTTACTTCATAATAAAACTGCATGCACAATTTTCTAATAACAGGGGAGGGTGGGCAGCTTAATTTTTTTTTAAACTTTTTTTTTTCTTTCACTATTTTTCTAAATGGTTTTACTTTTATTTTAATATTTATTTATTTTACTTTACCTGTTAGGGGCTTTGGAAAGATATCAGTGGTCTAAACGCATGCTATTTCCCTTTTGCAATAAAAAAACATATTGAGGACACAGAGTCCTCAAGCTCGCTTTCTGCAGCCCCAGCACTCAATGAGCAGGAGGCACTCAGTACAGAGGTTTCCTGTTCATTCATAAGTCAAGGATATAGTATCTGTTTACTATGTCCACAATCATAAATGAACAGGAAGTTATGAAGAACACTTCTTGTTCATTTATAATTGGGGACACAGCAAGTGAATACTATGCCCTCAATTATTTACAAGCATTGTAGTGATCAGTGCAGGTCACTGCAATGTTTGAAAATTACAGGGAACTATCAGAAAATATTTCACATATTTGCTGATCATCCCGCAGCTCTCCTCCCTGCACCGCCCCACTCGGGCTCCCGACAGCTTATCCTCCCCTCTGGGCGCTGTAAGGTGGTCGGCTCTGCAGCAGCAGGCTCCCAGCATGGAAAGCTACAGAGCCAATGCAGCGCCGGGAGTTATGGTGGAGCTCTCCTCACCTCTGGGCATCAGCTGCGGGGGTCTGTGTCGCCTTCCGATCCCCGCTGGGAGCAGCAGGGATCAGAGGAGACAGCTGATGAAACACCGGGGACCCTAGGGGACCCAGACCAACTAATCGATAATGAGACGACGTTTCTCATTCTTAATTATTATCGATTCTTTGGTTTCAGCCCTAGTGACGATGCACATCATCTCAGGGGAAATAAATCCCTTTCCTTGAGATCTTGAAATATTTTGCAGATTACATATGAGATTTCCCAGCAATGCACTGTGATGTAGCCTTCCCCATGATGCAAAGCTTAGGCAAGGGCTGGATCACTAATGCCCAAGATTACCAGGAAGTGAAAAAAACAGTATTAAAAAGAAAAATAGGTTCATTTAACTAATGAATGTAAGATGATTTCATATCGGCATGCTGAACTGCACGCTGATGTGATTTATAGTGAAAGGGGGTAAAGGTCCACTTTAAGTAAAGAGGTTGCGGTGCTTTAAAGTTTTAGAGAGGGAAGGATAGCCATGGTGTATCAAATCACCCATAATTAATATTCAGTTCCTTAAATTTAAATGGTTTTCTTTCTAGGAGTTCTTCGGGGATCTCCTGTAGCCACTGGTTCTCCTGCCCTTCCCCGCAAACAGAGGGACAAATCTCCAAGCAGCTTATTGGGTGATCCTAAAGAGACAACGTTTACACGTGATCGGAAGGGTGGCTTCTTCAGTTCTTTCATGAAGAAGAAAAGTGCTCCACAGCCTCCAAAACGCAGCAGCTCCTTTCGTGAAATGGAGAACCAGCCCCATAAAAGGCCAGAACTGACTGGTGAGCTGTCTGCTTTTCCACACCTTGACGGCATTGATACTCCTGCTTCTCCGGGCTCTCAGAAAAGCTACGGAGGAGTATCCCAACGCAGTTTTGCAGAAGACTCTGTAGCTGGGGTTGGTGGTGGCTGGACTGGAATATCTGGGTTCTTTACTCCGCGTCTCATCAAAAAGACATTTGGGTTGCGGACAGGAAAATCAGGGAGCAGTGAGGACCAGTCCAAACCTTTTCCGAGGTCCAATTCCACATCTTCCATGAGTCCTGTTATTTCTGAGCAGGACAGAATGTCCATGACCCTGCCCAGAAACTGCCACCGGACTAAGGTCCAGCTGGACCATGCTGCTTCAGTATCTTCTCAATCAGATGAGAACCAACAGGAGCTTCCAAGAACTACACTGGGCATAGCACCTCCTCAGCCAAATCGGGACAAGGTAAAACCTAAAATGCTTCCGCGGACCGGAGGCAATGAACGAAATGGTGGTTTACGAACAGGTGCAGATGAGAGGTCATCACCCAGCAAACAATCTGTCGCTGTTGCTTCCTGTTTTCCTACAGCTGCCCACAACCACAAAGTGCCAGTTCTCATCTCTCCGTCCCCGAGGAATGCATCTACAGATAGCCAGCTGGTTGGAATGGATTCTTTAGGTCACACCTTTAAATTGCTTCAGGAACATGTCACGCCAGCTGGCTGTGAGAAGGATCGGCCTTCTCATCGCCGTCTCAAGCCAAAATGCGCACCCCCTCCTCCACCAAATCTGAGGTTCCTCCAGCAGCCATCAGCTGACAACTCAACCCTCTCCGCATCTGCACAGCCTGTCCCTGAACGGGCATCCAAGCCAGCCCGACCCATGCTGCCACCGCCACCTCCAGTCGCTCAAGGTGGAAAGCTCTCTAATGGAGCAGCTGGAAGTGGCAGGGGCGCCCTGCGGAAGCCCAAACAACCTGCAGAGAAGGTACCTGCAGAAAAAATAAGCAAAGAGGCCCTGTTGCAATGTGCTGGAATGCTGTCCACTGCTCTAACACAGCCCCAACCCAACAGCCAACTAGTGGACACCGGCCACCAGCTTCTGGACTACTGCACTGGATATGTGGACTCTATCCCCCAAACACGGAACAAATTTGCCTTCCGTGAGGCAATCAGCCGCTTAGAGGTCAGCGTGCAGGAACTGCAGGTGTCTTCCGCAGGGGGCGCAGCAGCGGCTGCTTCTCATGGTTCGAACCCTGTACTTAATAACTTACTGTCCTGTGTACAGGAGATCAGTGATGTAGTGCAGAGGTAGCTAATCATGGATCTGCTGACATATTCAGGAGGCATTTCTTACTGATCACCCCAAACACCATCAAATAACCAGCTCTGTTGGGATGCAGTGGCCGGTGCGTGACAGTTATATTTAGCATTGGAGGAGCCAGCGAAAGGGTTAGACCTCTCTGCTTGTAAAGGAAAACAAGTTGCTGGGAAATGTAACCAAACAGGTCTAGTCCAGTAGAACAAGCTTTTAAAAGACATCACAATCATATTTTACTCATTTCTTGTCATTTTTGCTTTACTTTTTGTTCTTTTACATCTCAGGTTTAAATGGTATTCTAGAAAGGAGATTTCAGTTCTCCATCCTAACTGGGTCCAAAAATAAAGTGAGCGAAGAGTGGCTTTTTTTTTTTTTAAGCTGATGTGGCAAGACAGTCATCTACTTTCATTACGTACTACAGTCTTGCTGCTGTTTTGGGTGCGGTAGGAAAGATTATATTCTTTTTATGTTATGAAGGAGCTCCTGGGCATGGTGAAGGCAGAAAATCCGAAATAGGCCAGGCTCAAGTTAATTTGATCATTTTAGTGTCTTGTACCACCTTTATTAGAGTAGCAGTTAGCATTGGGCTTTACTACATGTAGATGGTGCTGTTGGCTTTTATGGTGGGAGTGGGCCACTACAACAGCCCATACAGTGACTCTCTGTAATATTCATAGCCATCTAAATACACAGTGGAGTCAGCCATAGGGATGTCGGCTGTAATGAGTCTAGGGTGGCTGCTGGGCTTGCTTAAAATTGTCCTGTTGCTGGTAGGCTGTGGATTTCGTAGCTCACTGCCAGTACACTAGGAGCATTACTAATGTGTATGTACAAGGGTGTATTATGTGCAGCTGTTCTGTTTTTGAGCCAAGCTCATTGTACCCTATTCGGCCCGGTTTAACAAAATGCAGCCACCCAAAAGTCTTGCAAAATCCAATAATTCAGTGTTTGGCAGGTTTTTCCATCTTTCCTCAGAAAGAAAGTTGCAGTTTGCTGTTCATTAGTGAAATGGACCCATTTTTGCATCTGATTAACACAACAAATGATCTGGTTTGTATGGGCCTAGCGAATAAGCTTCCTGCCATATTTCATGCATGGCTTTGTATTGTCATTTTTATAGGATAGGTATGAGTCTTAATGCCTAGCAGAAAGCAGTGGCCTGTTCTTATGCCACAGTGACCGTTTTATTGCCCCACTGTGTATGCAGTTTGCACCGTGCAGGTGCGTCCGATCTAGAGGGATGGCACAGTTATGCTTCCCAATGCATCACTTGTGCTTGGCCGTATTACAAGTCTAATCCTAGCGCTCGCATAGGAGGGAAACATACAGTAGCTTTGCTGGCCCTATAGGTTACCTACACAGTGGGGACGTAAGATTTTTGGGAGGTGGAGGGCTTCAATCCAAAATTTGCACTAGGCCCTTACCTTTTTAGCTTCACCACTGGATAGTCTGCAGATTCTTTCATGCGTGATCTATCAATTCATCACACTCGAGGGACATCACAGAGACGTGATAGAGTTGCCTCTATTAGTAATTGTACAAATGTTTTGTCATTTAGTTCAGCCCAGTGATTAGCTGCATCTACTGCAGGTGAACGCCACACCTTAGTAACACTAAAACACTGCCTCTGGGTAGTTTTAATGGCTTTACCATATATCTGTTTATGTGATGTCGGACAACGTATTAGGGTAAAAAGTGCCCTTGCTCACTTGATGTTGAAATTTCATGTCACTGTCCCCACAAGTCATTGGCATCCCAGCATGCTGCTGTGGTTAGGCTATGCATTCTCTGTCCCACAATGCAGTGTGACTGCTTTTCACCAACGTTGTGCAGTACACATGTGAATTGGAACACTTGAACACATTCACAAAGACACTGGCAAATGCCACTCAACTGATTAGCTGTTAGTGTTTTTTTTCTTCTTCAAGATTTTGTATAGAGAATGTTATATTTAACCTCACTTGGGACTTGCTTTCTCTTTCATAAACATATTCTGCAGATTATTCTTCAAAGTTTTATGGTCATGGTTATAATGTCTGTAAAGTACAGATGAGGAGTACAGTGCTCTTTCTGGGCAGTACTGGAATATGGGCATAACTGGAGCCTTTGACTGAGAGATCGTGTTTGAAGGGAACCTGTCACAATGGCTGTTACCTGTCACAGCTGAAGCTCTCCTGTCCAGCACTGGAGTCTGCCATTAACAGATTACTGAAAGCATTGCTTCTTCCAGTGCTGGGCACATTTCTGTGGCATCATGCACAGTGACAGACAGGTGCCCTTGGAGCCCTTTTGAGGGTCAGGCGGTGGGGCCTCCAGCACTGAATGGGAATCTCAGCTGTGGCAGATTTCCTCTGCTCTGATTAGCCATAGATATCAGCATTGTGCGTCTCTGGCTGTCTGCACTCAAGTGCTGCTTGCAAAAATAATGGGTGCATTCATTCACTGACTTGTTAATTGCATGTATTACACTATTGTGATCACTTGCATTGGCTTTAAAATATGGGCTTTATTTATCAAGATGTATTGCATAAGAACCCGTCTGTATTGCCCCACAGTAAATCGATATTCATTGATAGGTGCTGTAGGTGCTTGTAAGCCTGTCATAATGGAAATATGGGGCTGCAATGGCTGGACCTCTTTCTAACCCTTTGGCTTCAGGACTTTGAGTCGCTGACTCAGAACAAGTATGCAGAGACTTCTGACTTTTGTCTGATTTTCCATGTATGCGTGTTAGGAAAGCATTGAAGCCTGAGGGTCATAACAACAGCCAGGCAATTGGCATTTCCAGAAGGAAGGGTCGACTGTGGCAGCCCTTGTATTTTTCTAGTAGGTTTGCTTACAAGTTGAATTTTAAAGGGTCGATCCATCTAAAAATAACTGGCACATATCACATACTGGCTTTTTTTCTTCTTCACCCCCCTTTCCATTGCTGAGTTCTCACCACTACAGTTCTTCCAAGGGAGGGAGTCTCTTGCTGCATTTTTGTAGTTGGCTCATTGGACCCAGGACTGAATTTTAATGTTTGCAGGAGCTGGGTGGACCTGGGACTTGGTTTCAGGGATATCAAGGCTTTACACCTCAGAAGACATGAGACTCCGGTGGCTTATTCAATCTGGTGGTTTCTACCAAATGTTGGTATCAATCCTGGCCCTTTATATCCTACCAAACACCTGAAACCTTGACCCAAGCTGAACACCACCTTATACCAGAGCGGGTAGTATACATACAAAGATTGGACTTGGAGAATGCACCTTTTATTTAGAACACTTTACTTTAATGTGGACTGTACCAGAGACCCATTTCCCCTCCTCACACTACATATCTCCATAAACAAATGGCACCTAATATTTAGGGGACCTGAATGTAATGCTACAGGCTATTGGAAATAACGGTGCTGCATTTTGTAATGCACATATTACATATCTGTGTGCTATACCTGCTGTACCCGCACTACTTTCTGCATGAGCAGTTGAGAACCTTTTCCACTCGCATCATCCTGTTCAGCTAAATATATTTTTAAAAAACCCAGGGGTAAGGAAGTCTCTGTTCTGCCCACAACGACCAGTCCGGTGTTGAATCCTGCTGCTAGAAACATCAGCCGCCCCCCCCCCCCCGCTATTCTTTTTACTGGTTCTTTGTGCCGG